CGGCCCCGGCCTGCCCTCCGCGGGAGGCGCCGCTGGCGGTGGGTGTCCTTCCACGGCCGGCCGGGGCCGGCGGGAGCGCGGAGGTCCCGGGGCCGCGCCAGGCCCTGCCCCGTGTGCTTCGGGAGTTGGCAACTTCAGGGGCTCGGCGGGGCTCCGTGCGGGTGCCGGCGTCCCGTGCGGGGGGAACGCGGGCGGGGGCTCCCCGTCCCCGCTCCTGGGAATGAAGGGCCGGGGGGGGGAAGGTGGGGTGGAGCTCAGGCTCCGCGAGCGAAATCGATCGCGCTGAGTTCGGTCCCACACACGTTTCTTGAACGCCTTGCCCGGGATGAGGCCGCAGGCGCCTCCTGTGTGCGAGGACGCGGGGCGCCGCGGGGACCCCGGGAATCCCGGGGATGAGCGCAGGACGCTCCGCGAGGGCGGCTCGCGTGGAATGTGTTCTCGGAACAAAACCGTAGTTACGCAAACGACTTAGGCAACATCTCCTCACTTCAAGATGAGCTCTCCGAGGTGTTCTGAAACCACACAGGAGGGTCCCACGTTTATCTGGACTTGTTTGTTGGTTTTGTTTTAACCCAGCCGAGCACCCACCACATGATGGTATTGGAATGAATGAATTTTAAGTGGGATCTTTAGTGCCCTGGAGAGAGGGAGCGTTACTTAAACGCATGAGCGGCGTTGGTGACCAGGTGTCACAGGTACAGCCCCCCGACGGGGCCGTGACACACACCTGGCCGTGCTTGCTCCTGCGGCGCCGCGTCCATCCCCTGGGCTGGGTCCACGGGACCGAGCGTCAGCTCCGAAGGGAATCCGGGGCCTCCCCCCCTGGGTTCCCACGCTGCCCCGAATGTTACCTTGTTGGCTTTGGGGACGTGACTCACGGATGGGGGACGACCAGGATTCTTAGAAGCACCTCCTCTCGGGGTCGGGCAAGTGCTGTGCGCTGTTTGGCCTGGGGAGGGGTCAGCCAGGCTCCTCACCTGAACCTTGGCCCTTTTTAGGACTCCCCTGAGCAGCTCTTGGAAACAGGGTTTCCCTTTTTAGCCTTTATTAGCATCTCTAAATACCTCCTGAGTTGCTGGGAAGTGCAGTGCCCTTTCCCCCCGTCTTTTAATGGGAAGACTGGCAGGCCTTCCGCGTGAGCACAGGATCCAGGGGCACAGCCCCAGGTGTCACCCGGCGCCCTTTGCACAGCACCTTGCCGGGAGTGGCATAGAAGGGGTTTGGGTGCGGAGACCCAGGGGGCAGAGCTCTGCTGCTCTGGCTGGAGTCGGCCTCCTGGTACCGCCCTGAGTGCTGCTCCTCACGGCCCATTGTGAGGAACAGAAGCAAGTATCTTAGGACTGATGTTATGTAACATCACTCCTCAGAAAACGGGGGTTTTCTTCACTGCGGTCGGTTTTCGGAAAACTTGTGCTACTAGTAGTTTTAGTTTGCTCATAGAAAGAAGTAGTTGCGCGATCTTATTTCAGAGTCATACATAGTATACTCTGAAAAAAGGAAATGTTATGTCCATTTCTGAGTTTGTGGCAATTACTGTTGTTATTCTCTCAAAAATATGCAGTCAGGCTGATACACAGACACACAGCTATGCTGAGGCATGAGGCCAAGTACCCCGTGTTACTGGTCACCTAGTATAACTAGTCCTTTCCGAGGGTAGGCAGCAAATGACCTGCAGCTGAGTTCACCTCGTGGCATCTCTTATGGGAAGTGAAGATTGTCTATTTCAGTTCTCTGTCCTCACCCCTAACCTCTTCCAGTTTGGGGAATGGTGCATCCATGGTACCCCAATACCTTTGTAAAATTGTTCCTTTTGCAGGGGAGGAATTTGTAATACTAGTATATGTCATAAAAAGGGGAAACTTGTTTGTATGACTAAATTGATCGAAAGAATTGTACAGGTGGTAAAATAGAAACAGCAGTGGGACATGTTTTAAATTGTACGGAGAGTGAAATTGTCATTAATGTTTTTATGGCCAATTTATTACGCTGTTTAGCATGTTGGTTTAGCTAATAAGTAGTGAAAGCTTTAGGACAAGGGCACGTTTTACTTTAAACTCAGTGTCGTCGATGGTTCATACAGACGTCAGATTTTACTGATTTGGGACAGTTGATTTTAGGTGACTGTTGGTCTTGTTGATGTTTCAAGAATAGATATACTTAGATAAAGTCATTTAAGATTTCAGGTCTCGCATTGCACACTCAGGACGCTTGTTTGGGAGGTGTTAGATCTTTGGGAAAGAGTGTACATTACTAGCTTTGTGACCTTGAACACATTTTATATCCCCTCTGAGTCATTCCTTCTGTGGGGCTAAAGTGGGGATAATATCCACTTGACAAGCGTTATTGAGAGTATATATTTTGTTTAAAGTAAAATGCAAGCTCTGTACAATGAAAGCTACCAGATTTGTGTCTGGTTCTGCAGAAATTCAGAGGGTAGGTTTTTAAAATAATCTCTAAGTCTTGTTTGCCTTACCTGTAAACTCGTGCCTTTCTCAGCATTGGTGTGAAAATTAAATGAGATAGTGCATGTACATGGATGAGTTCGGTGCCTGGAATATAACATGAACAGTAATAATTAGTTTAAACAGACTGTGATCAGTTAAAAGGAATACTCTGGTTAATCAGGAATGTCTGTATAAGACTTGGTTTTTCTTGTTAAGCGAGCCCTTTGTGAGGGATTGGTGAGAGACCAACGGGACAAGAAAAATGGAAATAAAAGAGGAGAGAGAATGGGAGTCTACACAAGTATTTATGGGGCCAGCCACTAGGAGTGTGAGGATTACAGATGGGTGCAGTGTGAGCAGTGAGTCATTGGCACTGGGTCGTTGCTGGGAGATCTAGAACAAAAAAGGGACCACATCTGGCCTCGCAAGGCCCATGCCCTTCTTTTCATACTGTTTGAATATTGTTTTATCATTCTTAACAACTATCACACTGAAATTTTTTCTTAACATTATTGAAAGGGCCTCACACTTGGAGACTATGTTTGGGGAGCAGTGGCTATCACGTTGTCCCTGGGAGCTGACTGTTGACTAGACGACGAGAAAGAAGACAAGACGGAGCCTCGGAAGGTCTGGGGATCAAACCGTTATCTGAGCATCGTTAAACCCTGAAGGCATCGCTATGCCGTCCTGAAATTTCCTAACAGGTAAAGTGGGTTATCTGAAGAGGCGTCTGTCTATAACAGCCATTCAGTGGCAATGTGAGATAATATTTAATATACACACTTGTGTTTAAAGTATCTTTTCAGAAGGCAGAAGAATACATGGCTCCTACTAAATAAGAGTTTTTTTCAAAGCCCATTTTAGGAGTTTCATGTTGTTCTTTAGAATTGTTTAGAAGAGGTGTGCACACGAAGTGCTCCAGATAGCCTACTATTTGGCACCGCTTACTACTGGGAGTGCTGGTGGTTATTCTGGCCACACCAACAACAGGCTGGACGTGTGAAGCAACAGGGTTAGCACGCTTTTAAAGTAAGGAATTGTTACTGGTAGAATTGCTACTTTGCATGGTTTTCCTTTTGTGAATTTTGTTTTGGTGTTTATAATAATGAAGGTGTTTGTCATTAAAGCTTAATTTTAGTTTTAAAGGAAATAATATCCCTTTAAGAATAGTCATTTTTGTCTATTGGTGTTGCTTTTAAAGTGAAAATACAAACTCACACACACGTATACTTAGGGAATAAGATTATTAGTAAGTATCACAGACTGTCAGAATATGTAAGTGTGTACCAAGCATAGAATTACATTAGGAATTTAGTGGTTTTGTACATTTGCGGAATTACTGCGTTGTAGAATTAGAAGGACCTTCTGATTATTAACCAGCTTCATTCTTACACACAGATAATCAGGAAATTGAGACTAAGAGTGGTTACATAATCTGCCCGAGGTGACATACCACATTACAGATTTCAGAATGGAGTCTGGTGTACGCAGCCCTTCTTGCCGTTGATGCAAGATGTTTTCATTTACTCCTGGGAGCTAGGGAATTTGGATTTGTGTCTTCATGGAGGATGTCACAGTTGAGCTGGCTCTTGGAGGGTGACCTGTGTTTGATTGGGCAGAGGTATAGTTGGCAGGGACATCTCAAACAGGCTGAACAACCAGAGTTACATCATCAACCTAGAGATTCTTTTCTCCTCTCAAGTGGGGTTGCCTGTTTTCTGTTTCTTAGTTGGCTTCCTTGATTTAATGGAGCTCATCTTCCTACTAATTTCCTAGACAGGTGATGGGGAGAGAGAATGTGTGTGTGTGTGTGTGTGTGTGTGTGTGTGTGTGTGTGGCCTTGCACGCCACAAAACATCTGTATTCTAAATGTTTGATTTCTAGTCTGGCTGTGTAGAATTCTAGGTTACTGTTTAGTCAGCATAGGGTAGGTTATGCTGCAGTGGCAGAGAAACTCCGAAATCTCAGTACAGAAGTAAAGCTTGATTTCTTGCTGTCAAGTCTGCTGTGGGCCTGGGGGGTCCTGTGGCGTTTTCCTTTGGCTCTGGTCCGCTTTTACCTTCAGCTCCCCCCTCATATCACCCTGCGGCTCTGGGTTTCCATAGCAGATGCAAAGAGCGCTGACAGGTCACAGGCTGGCACTTCAATATTTGGTGCAGAAGTGACACATCAGTTTGGCTCACAGTGCATTTCATTGGCTAGAACCAGTCATGTGCCTCTGCAAGGATGCCGAGAAAGATGGGAGCACATGCAAAGTCATTGACCGTAAGCGTGTGCCATATTGAAAGTAATTTCCAGTTGGAATTTTGAAGGCATTGCTCCATCAGCTTTCAGCTTTTAGTGCTGCAACTAAGTCAGTTGCCATCCGCATCCCAATCATTTGTATGTAATTTTTTTCTTCCTGGAAGCTTTATAGTACCTTTGTATTATCTCCTAAATTCTAAAATTTTATCATGATGTGCCTGATTATTTTTTCTCCTTTGGATGCATTGAGAGTCCATGTGTGAGGACCCAGGACCAGACCCTAGGCCAGGCAAGCTATATCTTAGGCTAGACAGGCTCATTTTAGAAATACCTCGCCCTAAGGAATGAGTCCTTTTAATCTGTAAACTTGTGTTGTTCAGTTCTGGGAAAAAAATTAAAATTTCTTTTATAATTTTTTCCCCTTCAATTTTTTTTTCTCTTCCTGACCGAAGCTCTTTGTTGGATGTTGGACCTCCTGAATTGATACATAACATTTAATTTTTTAAACTTTTTTTTAATCAATTTTTTTAACTCAGCTTTTTTTTTAAGAGGTAAATTTTCTGCTTTTCTTTTGAATTTTGAATTTTGGCCAGGAGTTTTTGTTTTCTAATTGTTCTCTCCCCACTTTTTAAAATAAATAGCATGTGACTCTTGTTTCAGATTTATGATACCTTTTCTTAAGACTTGTTTTTTGTTGCTTTCCCTCCAAGAGGGTTAGATTTCAGCTTTCTCCAGTTTTTCTAAGACAGTTAAAACACTGTTACCATTTTTCGTCATTGCTTTCCAGTTTTCTTTGCCCTGGTGGGTTTTTTTTTTTGGGGGGGGGGTAGTGGAAATAAGGAAGTGTTTCATAAGAAGCTCATCCAAAGTTTTTTGTTCTTTTTAATAGTTTTTTTTTTTTTTTTTTCTAGCATCAATGAATATTAAAGCCTTTTACCATGAGGGAAACCCTCATTTAATTTTTCTTTAGGTAAAGGTTTTCAGTTGGTGCTCTCATGAAGGCCCATCTGTGTCACTGAGCTCTGTGTAACTTAAATATGAATTGCTTGCTCATCTGTAGTGGGTAACAAATTATTTTAAGTTGGATCATTTTAAAAGCATGAAGCTATTCCATGTTTGGCAAGCTATAAGTGATTACTTTTGACAGTTATCATTTTACTGTGCATATAATGTTTTCCATTTTGTAAGATTTTTCTTCTATTTGCTTACTTGGGCTGTGTTATGACTTTGAATAATTATTGCTCTCCGGGATCCCCGTTGTCTCTAAAGATGAGTAAGTGAGGTTAATGTTTGCTCTTACATTTACTAAACCTTACGTGGATTACATTTTGTACCCCAAATCTGCTGTTCTTAATTTTAGTGCACTGGTAGAAAATGAGGAAAGATATTTTACCTGAAAACTCATATTCTCTAATGCAAACTGAATGAAAAACTCTTATATGTTCTATGCAAAAGCATTTGAATAACTGACAAATTGCTTTCCATTTGGAGCTTTTGTGTTAAGATCTAAAGGCTGAGAGCATTCAAAGCAATTGCGTCAAGTTTCAGTTATTTTTATGTGCATATTGCCTTTAGAAGTTAAAAAATGTTGCTTTAGTCGTTGCATATATTGAAGAAATTATGTGTATAAACAAATTACTTAAAAGGTTGAATGAAAAGTAGTGAAGAAACTTCAGCATTGTACTATTCCATACAGCGCCCCCACCACAGAATGAAAACAAAACAGCAAACGGATCTTTGGATCATACTTAATTGTCCACATTTGTCAGAAATTCTCAAAGGCTCTTACTCCATAGTTTAAACAGTGAGGTCATTGTTTCTCAGAGGCAGTGAAAGTGGTGAGATTGTTTAGGGCATATGCTACATTTTTAGCTAAAATATTGGCAAGTGCCTAGAAAGGTGTAAAAATACATATATTAAAAATTTAATATATATATATATATATAAAGACAATGATGAATTGATATATAGGTGTACTACTTTTTAAATCCAACATGTTAAAAATCTGAATTAGGAAATTAAGGAGTGAGTTGATTTCATTAATTCATATAAGCCAGCTCCATTAACAACATTTAAATGATTGAGTTTATGAACATTTGTTTCATATTCAATTTAATAGGAATGTATTGAACACATAGGAGAAGATGCTTAAAAATGCTCGTGTAAAAGTTCTGTGCAGGTGAAATTTCTAAGAATCTGCATATTTTTATTTTCCTTGAATCAGATACTTTTAAAGCTTGATGTGTTTGAGAGCTCAGCCTCTTTGTATGGGAGTCACACAGCCAACTCAGTGCCACCTACCCTGTATTGTCATGTCAGTAGCAATTCAGTGGCAGTGAATCACTTCAAAATTGATTAGTGCTTTTGCTCTATTTATAAATTCATTCTTCGTTTATTACATTTTAAGTTATGTGACAGCTTTAAATCCATTTTTCTTCACTTGGTTGTCTTTAAATTTTTTCCATCCACCTGTAACCATGCAAGTGTTCATATTGCTTTTTAAAGTAAAGCTTATTGGGATAAGATCCAGAGGTCCTAAAAGAAGTCAGAGCGGTTCTATTGTGCACATCACGTTTCAGTTACTGTTATTTGCATGTAGTTGTCTAGTGTGAAGCATTGCAGATTTTACCCTATGTGCAGACTAACTAGTTAGCTTAAAACAGTTATTTGGTTGCTGCCACAAGACGGGAGACTCCTGAGTCCGAGATCTCGGACCTTTTTCAGGATACTATCAGAAGCCAGGGTGTCAGTGTTTGTGCCTGCTCCCAGAGCCGCATTGTCAAGTTGAGAAAAGAATGGAGGGCCAGAGGAGAAAGCACAGAAGCTAACTAGGAGGCCGATGCAGGAATGCAGGCAGGAAAGCTTGCACCAGTGCGGCGGTAAAAAGTGATAGCATTCTGCATGTAATTTGAAGATGGCTGGGGTTGGGATTCCGTGCCGTACTGGATGTGGAGTGTGAGACGATGAGCGGACCCAAGGTGATCTGAGCAGCTGGAAGAATGGAGTGGCCAAAACTGAAAGTGGGCAAGACTACAAGTAGAGCAGGTGTGGGGGTGGGAGGGGCGGGACCCAGAGTTTTGTCTTGAACATGTCACTTCTCACGCATCTATTAAGTCGGCAATGTAGCAGTGTCAGGAAGGGAGTTGACTGTCACTAGGCTAAATAAAGAGATAGACATTTGGGAGTGGATGACATGCCTGAGAATGAGAGAAGTCGCTAAGGGGCATGAGGAAATGGAGAAGAAATAACCAAAGTCCAGTGCTGGCGAGCCCCAAATGAAGAGATTTGGAGGCGGGCTGAGGGGTGACCAGCTGGGTCAAATGCTGCTGATAGAGCTCCTAAGTTGGGACTGCGAGTCGGTGCTGCACTTGCAGTGTGGACATCACCGGTGACCTTGACGAGAGCAGCTTCTGTGTAGTGGTGGGGGAGTAGGTCTCCAGTGTGTGGGTTTAAGAGGGAG